TCAATAAATGGTGTTGGGAAAATTGGACAGCCACATGCAGAAAAATGAAATTGGATCATTTCCTTACACCACACACGAAAATAGACTCAAAATGGATGAAGGACCTCAATGTGAGAAAGGAATCCATCAACATCCTTGAGGAGAACACAGGCAGCAACCTCTTCGACCTCAGCCGCAGCAACATCTTCCTAGGAACATCGCCAAAGGCAAGGGAAGCAAGGGCAAAAATGAACTATTGGGATTTTATCAAGATCAAAAGCTTTTGCACAGCAAAGGAAACAGTTAACAAAACCAAAAGACAACTGACAGAATGGGAGAAGATATTTGCAAACGACATATCAGATAAAGGGCTAGTGTCCAGAATCTATAAAGAACTTAGCAAACTCAACACCCAAAGAACAAATAATCCCATCAAGAAATGGGCAGAAGACATGAACAGACATTTCTGCAAAGAAGACATCCAGATGGCCAACAGACACATGAAAAAGTGCTCCATATCACTCGGCATCAGGGAAATACAAATCAAAACCACAATGAGATACCACCTCACACCAGTCAGAATGGCTAAAATTAACAAGTCCGGAAATGACAGATGCTGGCGAGGATGCGGAGAAAGGGGAACCCTCCTACACTGTTGGTGGGAATGCAAGCTGGTGCAACCACTCTGGAAAACAGCATGGAGGTTCCTCAAAATGTTGAAAATAGAACTACCCTATGACCCAGCAATTGCACTGCTGGGTATTTACCCTAAAGATACAAACGTAGTGATCCGAAGGGGCACGTGCACCCGAATGTTTATAGCAGCAATGTCTACAATAGCCAAACTATGGAAAGAACCTAGATGTCCATCAACAGACGAATGGATAAAGAAGATGTGGTATATATATACAATGGAATACTATGCAGCCATCAAAAGAAATGAAATCTTGCCATTTGCGACAACATGGATGGAACTAGAGGGTATCATGCTTAGCGAAATAAGTCAATCGGAGAAAGACAACTATCATATGATCTCCCTGATATGAGGGAGAGGAGATGCAACATGGGGGGTTAATGTGGTAGGAGAAGAGTAAATGAAACAAGTTGGGATTGGGAGGGAGACAAACCATAAGTGACTCTTAATCTCACAAAACAAACTGAGGGTTGCTGGGCAGAGGGGGGTTGGGGGGGGTTATGGACATTGGGTAGGGTATGTGCTATGGTGAGTGCTGTGAAGTTTGTAAATGTGGAGATTCACAGACCTGTACCCCTGGGGGAAAAATATATATATATATATATATATATGTTTATAAAAAAATAAAATTTAAAAAAAAAAAAAAACAGCCCTGTGTGGGCTCCTGGGTTTCCAGCTCTGTTATGGACTCAGGATTATCAATGTTGCTATTCAGCGAATAGTTTTGTCCCCTTCTGAGGGACTTTGCTTTGCAGTAGACTCTGCTGTCCCTCCTACCCGGCTCCCTGGAACTGTGTGTTCTGCCTGCAAGGGAAATTTGTTTAATTGTTCCCTTCGGCAGTCAAAAATGCAATCCTATATGAAATTAGTTAAATGTAGTAAGTTCTAGAGAACAACGAATGATCCTTTGAAGATTTATAAAAGGCATAAACTGTTATATAAGGAATTTGAAATTTTTCTAACTAATAACTATTACTAGTGATTCTGTGGCTATTTACCTTTGTCAAAACCCATAAAATGACACATTTAAACTGGTGAATTTTGTAGCATGTGAATTATACCACAATAAAACTGATTTAAAAAAAAAAAAAAAAAAAGTAGGCAGAAAATCTGAATACACATTTTTCCAAGGAAGATGACACATGAATAGATGCTCAACATCACTTAACTATCAGGGAAATGCAAGTAAAAACCACAATATGATATTAACTCCTATCTATCAGAATGGCTTAAAAAAAAGACGTTTGGTAATGATGTGGTGAAAAGGGAGCCATTGTGCACTGTCAGTGTGAATCTAAATTGGTGTATCACTATGGGAAATAAAACTACTAGAGGGGCCAGTAACTCTAATTATTTATCTGGAGAAAATGAAAACAATTAGAAAAGACATATGTACCCCTCTGCTCATCACGGAAACAACCTAAATGTCTAAGGATAGATGAATGGATAAATAAGATGTGACATCTTTAAAATAATATTACTCAGCCATAAAAAAACAAAATATTGCCAACTGTAACAACACTGATGAGTCTAGAGAATATTATGCTAAGTAATTCAGATAGAAAAAAAAAAAGTACTGTATTATTTCAGTTATATGTGACAACTAAAAAACAAATGAAAAAATCTCATGACCCTGAGACCATGACTTGAGCTGGATGCGTAACTGACTGAGCTACCCAGCCACCCCTGATTCCATTTATAATGTGTGTTTTGTTTTGTTTGTTGTTGTTGGTTTAAAGAGAGCAGGGCACACAGGGGGAGCAGCAGAGGGAGAGGGACAAAGATTCCCAAGCAGGTTCCCTGCCCAGCACAGAGCCTGATGCAGAGCTCGATCTCCCTATCCTGGGATCATAACCTGAGCCAAATCAAGAGTCAACCCTTAACTGACTGAGCCACCCAGGTACCCCTGTAAAACACTCTAGATGGGACATGATTATAGAAGAGATTACTGCTTGCCAAAGGGGTTAAGGGTGTGACAGAAAAGGGTTAGAACAAGGAATCTTTGTGGTGGTGGAAGTTCTGTAAGTTGATTGTAGTGGCAGAGAAATCAACAGGAGATAAAACCATATAGAACTACATGGACACATACACGAGTGCATGTAGAACCAGTGATATCTGATAACATGTACAGATCATGCCAATGTCAAACTTGATATTGTACTTGAATTATGTAAAATGTATATTAGGGGAAACTGGATATAGGACACACAAACTAAACAGTACTATAGAGTATTATTTTGGCAACCTCCTATAAATCATTATTTCTAAATAAAAACATCTTTTTAAGAAAAAAGATTTATTTATTGGAGAAAGTGGGGGAAGGCGTAGAGAGGTAGAGGGGCAGAGGGAGAATCTCAAACAGACTCAGAGGTGAGCACAGAGCCTTTTGCAGGGCTTGATATCATAGCGTGAGCTGAAACCAAGAGTCTGACGCTGAGCCAAATGCACCACCCAGGTGCCCCAATAAAGACATCTTTTGAAAGTCCCAGTAGAAAACAAAGAGATAAAATAATGAATGAGCTATTCACAGAAAAGGATATTTGGGTTCAATAAATACTTGAAAGGTCTAAATATAAAACATTTTAGATCTGATACAGGGAAGTGAGCTTTCATATCCGCTGGCCACATACCTCACGTCTAAAACCACCAGCATCTGCACCCTCATTTAAGGATTCAGAAACCAAATAAAGCTTTGTTGAGATATGCTAAAATTTCTTCTGCTCTGATATAGGCATCTATACTTGGCTTGACATTGTCAGAATATTAATCATGCTTTACAGTATGTATGAAGGGTCAGTCTCTCCTCGATCTGAAACCAAGCCAAATGTAGGTGATTTTTTTTTTTCCAGATGGAGAGCCAATTATGTCAACAATTGACTATTTCTTTTGTTTCTTCACTGCTTTCAGGCTAGAGAATTTGTGTTTGAAATAAAAATAAAAATTTTTAAATTCCCATCAAGTAAATGCTATGTATATACTGCTGGCGTTTATTATCTAAGTTAACATTGTGAGGAGAGGGTAAGCAAAGTATCATCTTAATTCAGTTTGGTTTGTGTATTAGTAAAGATAGTTTTCTATAAATTTTAGTATTTGGTCATACAAAATTCATTTTTAAGTTGTTTCTATAGGTCGTGTCCTTTTCCCATTTGATTCTTATTTTAGAGAAACAGGAAAATAAGGCCAAGAAAGAATACAAAAGATAGCAACATATCTTAACAACCAGATTTGTTACCACCATATTTGCTTTCATTCTTTCATTTTTTTAATTAAAGAAATGTTACAGATAAATTTAACAATTCCATCTAAACCTCTCCCACTTCCACCAAGGCAACCAATGTCATAAATGGATATATGACCAACACACAGTACTGTTTTTTGCATTATTTTATTAAACTTATACAAATGTTACATCTTTTCATTGTACATTTTGTTTTTCTTCTCTCAATATTTATATTGTGATCTAGGTACTATATGTCAAATTTGTACCTTCTCTCTAAATACGGTATTCTATCATAACAATAATTACATGGTATTAATCTATCCTTCTACTAATGAGAATCTGTTATGTCCAATTTAGTGTAATACAAACCACGATGAACATAGAGATGTGTATCTTCATGCCCGTATCTGTGTGCAATACACCAAAATAGAAATGACTATTTCATATTTGTGTTCTTAGAGTGATCCAGTTACTCTAAAGAAATAAATCTATTTCATTTTCATCATAGTTTTAGAATTTTGCTTTTTATATTCTAGTCTTCAGTCAATCTGGATTTAATTTTTATATATAGTATAAAGTAGACAACTGTCATTTTTTGTTCAAATGAATCTTCTGTTTATTGAATAGGCCATTCTTTCTCCAATGACTTCAACAGCAATACCACACAAAAAATTTCCTTATCTCCTTTCTTCAATCCTTGTTTTGTTTCCACAGATTTATTTACTTATGAAGAACACATTGTTTAGAAACCAGCTTTAAATATGTGATGCTATCTGGTAGACTGTGTTTTCTCTTGTTTTTCACTTGTTTCAGCTATTTGTGGTCCTTTATGTTCTCATACAAAATTTTAAATCAGTTTGTGAAAAATTTAACTAGTGAAAACTTTGAGTGGAAGTACCTTAGAGATTTGTGAATTTATATTTTTGGAAATGTGTTTTCAATGTTATTTTTCTCAGAATTTCAGGTCCTACTTTATGTTCTTCAAAATGTTTTTTGTAACTTTATATATGTGTGTGTCTTGTAATTGCTGTTGTGTTATCCTTAGACATTTTATATCAACACATTTTCCAATTAACTATTTCCTGTGTAGGAGAATATTTTTATAGGAGGATATTTTCATAGTTTCTTCCTTCACCCCAAATCTTCTTTTTCTTGCTTAACGTACTGGCTACAATAGGAGCTCAACTGTAATGCTGATATGCTGGTAGCAGACATCTTGTTTCATATTTTAGTAAGAAACCTGAATAAATATCAATAGAGGTCTACCAAGGTTTTTGATGTTCAACTTATTTGTTACACAATTTGTCACATTGTATAAGAATTCTCATGTTTCACAATTCTGTGACTTCTTCAAAAGTCTTTCCACATTCACAGTTTTCTGCTCCAAAACCAATTATGTAATGTGAAAGGAGGTGCTAATTCTGAAGGCTTTTCCATCTTCACAATATTCATTGTGTTTCTATTTCTACTGAGTATGAATTCTCTGGTGTCTAACAAGGTGTGACTTTTGGCTAAAAGCCTTACCACACTCATTACAATGATAAGGCTTCTCACCGGTATGTTTTCTCATATGAAGTGTAAGAGATGAGATTTGAGAGAAGGCTTTTCCACATTTACTACAGTCAAAGGGTTTCTCACCTGTGTGACCTCGTATATGTATAGTAAGGGATGAGCTTTGGGAGAAGGCTTTTCCACATTTATTACATTCATAGGGTTTCTCACCTGTATGACCTCTCATGTGCACAATAAGAGAAGTTCTTTGAGAGAAAGCTTTTCCACATTCATTACATACATAGGGCTTCTCACCAGTATGACTTCTCATATGTAAATTGAGCAGTGAACACTGAGAGAAGGCTTTCCCACATTTATCACATTCATAAGGCTTTTCTCCTGTGTGACTTCTCAGATGAAGAGTAAGAGATGCAATTTGAGAAAAGGCTTTACCACATTCATTACAGTCATAAGGCTTCTCTCCAGTGTGAACTTTCTGATGTGTAATAAAGTTTTGTTTTTGACTGAAGGCTTTACCACATTCATTACATTCATAGGGTTTCTCTCCAGAATGAATTTTTTCATGGGCAATGAGATTTGATTTCTGGCTAAAGGCTTTGCCACATTCCTTACATATGTAGGGTTTTTCTCCAGTGTGAATTCTCTGGTGTCTAACAAGATTTGACATCTGAATGAAAGCTTTCCCACATTCATTACATTCATAAGGTTTCTCTCTAGTATGAATCTTCTGGTGTGTAATGAAGTTTTTCTTGTGGCTGAAGGCTTTTCTACATTCCTTACATTCATAAGGTTTTTCACCAGTATGACTTCTCATATGTACAGTAAGGGCTGAACTTTGAGAGAAGGATTTTCCACATTCATTACATTCATAGGGTTTCTCACCTGTATGAATTCTTACATGTATAATAAGCATAGAAAACTGAGAGAAGGCTTTTCCACATTTATCACATTTGTAAGGTTTTTCTCCTGTATGACTTCTCATATGAAGAGCAAGGGATGCAATTCGAGGGAAGGCTTTACCACATTCATTACATGCATAAGGTTTCTCCCCAGTATGAACTTTCTGATGTGCAGTGAGGCTTTGCTTCTGGCTGAAGGCTTTCCCACACTCATTACATTCATATGGTTTCTCTCCAGTATGAATTTTTTCATGATCAATGAGATTTGATTTCTGGCTGAACGATTTCCCACATTCCTTACATGCATAGGGTTTCTCCCCAGTATGAATTCTTTGATGTCTAATGAGATTTGACATTTTAATGAAAGCTTTCCCACATTCATTACAATCATAAGACTGCTCCCTACTATGAATTTTATGATGTTTAATGAGTTTTTCCTTGTGGCTGAAAGCTTTTCTACACTTTTTACATTCATAAGGTTTCTCTCCAGTATGAATTCTCAGGTGTCTGATGAGGTCCAAAGTTTGACTGAATCCTTTCCCACAATGATTACACTTAAAGGGAGTTACTGCAAGATGGGATGGATTAATGCAAAATGATTTCATAGGTTCACTAAATTCAGAATGTTCCTTTCTTATAAGGATTCTATTATTATGATGACAGTCAAAATTATTATGTTCTAAACAATTTCCAAACAAGTCATATTCATAGAGATTGTGACTGGAAGGAAAAAAGTCCAAGTTAAGAGGAAATGCATTTGCAAATTTCTTATGACATTCATTGACTTTTTCTTCAGTCAGTGTTTTTGTGTATTTATCTTCAAATTGTGTCAAAAGTCTGTCCTGGATTTTCTGATGCTCAATCCCCCACATTTCTCCTAAAACAGATTGCAAATAAATATCACTTGAAAATTTTTCCAATATTATAAAATGAAAATTTCAGGAAATATGCTATCATGGGATTCATTCTTGGTTTACGGTTTAGTTCCCCATTATAAAGCAAATTTCATGTGTGTAGATCTCGTATTTTTGAAGCTTTAGGAGATCCCAGGAAAAATATGAGTAGAGGAAAAGAGGAATACAAATAGCTTTGTGTTTAAAAACGGGATCCGAAACAAAACAGATGAACTGCCGGATAAATAAAAGGGAGAGTGCAGAATGTACAAAGTAAGAAAAAAATGACAGAGGAAAAAAATAGGAAGTTAATTATAAAACTATTTTGTAGGACTCTATTAAAATAAGCTTTTACAAACTGCTTAACATAAATAATTTTCTGGAAAATGCAAATTACCAAAACTGACCCTGTAAGAGGTAGAAAACCTGTATGAACCAACTTCCACAAAATAAAGAGAAAAATATGAAAAAGCAATCCCATAAAAACAAATCAAAAAGGCCCACAGAGGTCCACATGGGAATTTGAACATTTAGGGGACATTTGCTTTCATGATTTGCAAAAAGCTTATAAATATAGAAAAAGAGAATTTCCAATTTTTTTCTGTGTAAAACGTAACAATACCGAAACCTGAAAAACATAACCAAAAAAGCCAACTACACACCAACTTCACTTATGAATATCAATGTAAAAATTCTACCTAAAACATCAAAATAACCCAGAAGGAAAAAAAAAGTGACCTAGAGAACATTAAATATGTTACATCATACTTGTGTAGATTTTAAGGTACAGAAGTATGTTTTACTATTAGAAAAATCTATTTTACTATTTTTTTAACTATTTTACTATTAGAAAAATCTACTTCTATATTAAAATGTTGAAGTAAAAAAATCATTTCCAAAGATATTTTAAAAAATGATAAAACTAAACATCAATTTTCCATAATGAAACTTTCAAAAAATGGGAATACTTATTTAACTTGGGAAAAAGTACAGCACAACTTCAATAGCACCATATTTAATAAGAAAAATCTACCCCCAGCCAAAAAAACAAAAATCCCAAAGCACTGACATAATAAAAAGTACTATCACCACTATTATTACAGTACTGTGTAGTGCACTGAGGGACGAAATCAGAGGTAGAAAATGTGGAAAGGAAAGGTAAGATTAACATTTTTGTCAACAATAAAACAATTTACGTGCAAGATCAAAAGTGAAAAATTATTATAAAAGTAAAAAGTCATTAACTTCACTGTATCTTAGAAATTAATAGTTTCAATAACATTCATAAATACAAAGAACTATTTAGAAAACATAACAGAAGACTATACTTACAATCACAACAAATAAATATGGAAAATATGGGAATTTAATAAGTAAGATCCCAAGATTTTCAGAAAATTAAAATGCGCACACAGATGTGACCAAATGGAAAGGTGCTACAGGTTGAATTGTGTGTACTGCAAAAAAGATATGTTGAAATCCTAATTCCCAGTACCTCAGAATGTGAAGTTAGTTGGAAAAAGGGTCACTGCAGATGCAATTAGTTAAAATGAGGTCATACCAGAGTAGGGTAGCTCATAATCTGACTGGTGTTCTGACAGAAAGGATGCAATGTGAACAGACAGAAATACAGGGAGAACAACATGTGAGAATAAAGACACAGGCTGGCCTTGTGCCACTGCAAGCCAAGGAATGTCTAGGGCTACTAGAAGCTGAAAGAGGGAAGAAAGGGTTCTTCCTCTACAGATTTCAGAGGGAGTATGGCCTGGCAACACCTTGATTTAGGATTTCTAGCCTCCAGAACTGTGAGAATAAATCCTGTTATTCTAAGCCACCCAGTTTGTGGTATTTCATTATGGCAGCCCTAGGAAACTAAGAAAATCACATTGCTGGAAAAGAACATTCAACCACAAAAATGACATTTATTCACAAGCTAACCTATCAATGTAATTTCATTAAAAATATTTGAATGTGAGATAAAGAAAAATGCATAAACTAACAAAGACTATCCAAGAATAGATGGAAGACCATTCTCTTAAGAAATGGAAGCAGAAATGCTGTCAAGTCAGGAACATGAGGCAGAGGATACAAAATAAAGGAACTGCCTCAAGCATAGAGTAACTACAAGCCTACCTACTTCCTGAAGGATAACATTCAGTTCCCTGTTGCTGCTTAGCTCCAAGGCTGGAAAATGGAGATTCTTCTCCCTCTCTGCCAGACTGATAATAAAGGAAGGGAAAATTCCTGTGCAACTAACTGTAAAGCAGGTAAACTTAAGAGACTTGGTTGCAGATTACACATGTGAAAAGAAGGCAGAATACTAGCCTTTTGGGTAACTTAGAAAAATAGAAGTCCCATTAAGCAAATGATGTTGAAGGCAGATTAGGCTGCCAAAGTACATCCAAAGAGAAATGAAAAAGAATTTGATTCACGTACAATAAGGGCTTCAATACGAAAAACAGATGCATTCATATACAAGAATTGGTAAACTTTTTCTTAACGTGTCAGATAGTAAATATTTTAGTCTTTGTGGGTCATACGGTCTTTGATGCAACTATTCAAGTTTGCCACTATAATGTGAAAGCAATCCTACACAAGATGTAAATGACTGGGTGTGGCTATGTTTTAATAAAACTTTTATTTTCAAAAATAAGAGGCAGGCTTACAAACCATAGTATAGTTTGCTGATGATCCCTGTTCTAGATCAGAGTACTCATTTTCTTTCCCTAACATTACCCTTTTTTAAAAAAGCAAGCCAAGGAAGAACTAGCCTACCACTAAAAATGAGAAGGTGCTAAAACCAGGTCTGTAAGATGTATTACAAAAGAAAAAACATAAAAGAAACAGGATATAAAGAAAGCAGAAAAAAGGCACCAGCTAAAACAATTATGGCACACAGTAAATGAAAATGTTGGCTATTTCCACGAACGGCAAAGCTTAATGAAAATAAATCTATAAATCAAGAGCTGAAAATCTAAATATAAACAAATGAAGTGGAAACAATAAGAAAACAGAAAGGGATAGGTGAAAAAAATAAGTGGCAGAACCAAGGAAAGAAATGGAAGAGAAAAATAAAACCAACCAAAACGAAGAATACCATGCACATCGGGGGAAAAAGAGACTAGGTAGTACTTTTAGTATTGAAATTATAGAATGGTAACCTCACACTGAAGAATAAGCTAATGGTAAAACAAATTCTGATGCATCACTGGGCTTACAGAAAGTAGCACAAATCTCCAAGAACACCACAATATGCTCTACCAACCACACGTGAATACCATACACTAAAAAAATGAATAAAACACAAACAAGTATTAGCCAAAATCAGGTCTGCAAGAGGGATTTAGAAAGCAAGCAGGAAGATGAATTTGACTTGACTTCCTAGACAAATCAAAGCCTGTTAACTGAAGCATAAGCCTCGGGCCAGGAATAAGGAAAAGAAGATCAACTGAGGTTCCTACAAAAAGCCAGCACATTCAAAGAATGGTCAACTGTTCTTCACTTGGTAATGGCTGTTGGCATCTATCAGAAGCACATATGAATCATCTTTGGAAGAATGCAACCCCAATTTAGGTTAAGATTATTGCAAAAAGGTTTAAAAATGCTGAATTCACAATCAGCAGTCATCAACCACGTGAAGAATCAAGTACAAAAGGCAAATCATTTAATCCTGAGGACTTAAAATATTAGAATTGTCAGATACAAAAAACAGAAGAGCTACATAGAATATTTTGAAAAAAGCAAAGGATAAAAACACGAACATAAACAAGCCACAGAAATTGGAGTGAGAAAGATGTAGGAGAAAAAAAGCCAAAAAAAAAAAAAAAAGGAATTTCTAAAAATACAAAACAGTACTACTGAATTTTTTTAAGCAAATGAGATAAAAGATACATAAACACAGCTGAAGAGGAAATGAGTAAATCTGAAGATATATCTAAGGTAATTACTGAGAACACAGAAAGGGAGACAGAAAATAGTAAAGGAAATGAAAAAAAAAAAGAAATATGGAGGAAAAAAGATCTAGCCTCTATTTTTAGGAGTCCCAGAAGGAAAGTGTAGAGAGAATGAAGGAAGCCAATATCTGATGATGTTGGCTAAGAAATCTACAGCGTTAAGGAAGACAAAAATAAGAGCACTATGGGAAATGTTATACTAATAGATTAGAAAATAAAGATGAAACAAGTTGTTAAATATAACAGGCTACTTTGGAACATCAGTGTATAGTAAAACTTTACAGATACAGAGCAAACTTACATATTTATGGAAATTAGGTTGTTCAACTTGGTAAAAATTAATTTGAAAAGCAGAATTAAGTGGGTAATTTTCTAGAACAATATAACCTATTACCAAAAACTAATGCCAAAAGATACAAAACACCTATAGAGAACAGTATAAAGTAACAATGGATAAAAGCTGTCAAGAGCACTTTACCTCAGTAACCCACAAGGTCCAAATAGGTGAACAAGTAAGATAAACCAAAATTTTAAGGGAGTTATATGCTATTATGAGTACTCCAGAAGGAGAAATGATTTTAAATTCTAATTATGAAACCAGTGTAACAGTGCATCCAAAGCCTGAAAAAGTTTGAACAATTATTTAAATTCATGGTAAAAATGTAAGCATGATAAACCTGGCGATTCACAGACCTGTACCCCTGGGGGAAAAAAATATATGTTTATAAAAAATAAAATTTATTAAAAAAAATGTAAGCATGAATAATTACGAAAAAAGACTTCATAGACTATGAAGACATAATTCACCTATATACATGAATGAAAAAAATCATAGGATAATCTCTTGTAAGGAAAGATTATTTTAACTAAATGAACATTAAAAAAAAACTTAAGGTTCCAAAAGTACCTCAAAGAGGAATGTCCAACTGTGAAAAAATACTGGAAAAATATACAAAAGATAAAAGGCTTCTCACATCAATATAGTCATATAAATTAAAAATTCAACAGAAAAACAGGCAAAAGACATAGGCCATTTATAAAGAAATACAGAGCTTAAACATATGAAAACATCCTTGATTTCACTCATAATAAAGGAAATACAAATTCAAACTAAAATGAATTGTTTTTCACCTATCGAATTGGGAAAGTTTTTAAAAATGCTAAGACTATGTTGGCAGAAATTCCTGGTAGAAATAAAAATGTAGTTTCTTTGGAGAGCAAAAAAAGACTTGGCACTATCTACTACCAAATTAGAAATATATGCACGTATGTGTATATACATATTGCCTACATGTGTATGTATATGTATGTGGGTCTATGTGTGTGTATAAATACATGTGCAGACAACTGTGTGCACAAATACATGACAAATGCAGCAGAAAATAAAGCTATGAGAAAAGTATCAATGACCTGAAAACTTACTGAGTAAAACAGCTGTAGCCATTACTGAAGTATGAAAGCAAAAGCTAAAAATACAGTGGGAAATGTAACTGAGTACAAAATAAAATACTAAAGCATTTATAATAGAAGGAAGAAAAGAAAGTCTAACATAAATGTCAACAGTTTAGTTGAACAACTGGTTATGTGAATATGCAAATGCAAAATGAAAGAATCCTATGTAACAAGGTGGGCAAAGAGACTGAAGATACTAATAACAGAACGATTGTCAAAGTAAAGCTGGAAATGAATTAGGAAATGCTAACACACAGATAAAAAGGCCAACTAGTCCTTTAAGTTCTGTGGAAAGAAGAATGTTCTCTAGAAAAGACATCTTAGGTTAGTAAGTTATTCACATAGACTATTATTACTTAAAAGTCTACAGTCTTTAGGAAAATATATTTGGAGAACATTTCAGAGGGGTCAACTAGTCATGGATTAACCATTAAAGAGTTCCGGTCCCACCTCACCTGTCTGTTCCCTCCCTAACTAACCTGGATAGTGTCTCCTTAACGCTTCTTCCTCCACCACCCAAGGTTCCTCTTCTTGCTCCAACTTGAAAATCACATCAGGTTTGGTGAATGGACAGCCTGTCAAGGGAAGTAACATAAGATCTGGGCATAAACACCAGGCACAAAAAAATCATTCAACATCTCAGAACACTGAAAAAAAAATCATTCAAGAATTGACACTGGCCCAGGGAAACCAGGCTTTCTGAAGGACAAGGACATGGTTTGTGGGGATGCTGCCCCTGAAACATAAGGGGGATGACCGTTTGCTTTGAAAGCTGCAGCACATATATTCATGTAAGCAAAGTCACCTCAAGGTGAAACTCACTCAAACATTTAAAGATTCCACGCATTTCAGAAATTTGGGCGAAAGTATTTTACTCCCCGAATTTGAGTTACACAAGAAACTACCCTTACCCACTGTGATTAAGTTGTTATAGTTTTCTAGCATCACATTCCGGTACAGGTTCCTCTGAGCAGGATCCAACCGCTGCCACTCCTCCTGGGTGAAGTCAATAGCCACATCCTTGAATGTCACTGTTCCCTGTAACAACACACTCCTACTCAATCTGAAGTCATCCCTTTTAAATGACGTAGAAAACATATGAACCACGTTCTCAGAGTACCCAAAGGTAAGAGGTTATTTAAAATTTTAGGGGATGTTGTTATTTTCTAAACAAACAAACAAACAAACAACAACAACAACAACAAAACCCCAACATATTAACAACATTCTGTCAGTCTGTGTTCATTCACAGAATCAGCAAGCATGTATCTTAAATACCTACCATAGGTTTAAAGAGATCTTCGGCACCAAATTATACTGAGTGTGGAAAATGGGAGGAATATAAAATTTTACTCATGTGGTTTGGGAACTCACTAATGCCTGTGACTCATTAAGGTAGGCGAAAATGAAAACTGGATTTGGATGGAAGCAGAAACAGGGATAGAATGATACACACAATTTGAAGTACAGTAGCAGCTAGATGTATTGTTCATGAGATCAAGAGAAATTTAGAAAAATGAGGATGTTTTGTTCATAAGCCTATAACAAGTGTCTGCAGCCATGAAAATGGGAAATGGGAAAATGGGAAATGCTAACTTTGTTAGCAAATAACAGATAAATAAAAACAATAAATAAAAAAAGATTAACAAAATTTTTTAAATGGTCTGAACCAGAATCACAACTAGAAGCATGAGAAAAGAGTATCAAGAAAGCTTTAGAGTAAGTTTGGAAATGAGGTGCCAGTGACAAGTTTTATGAGAGCAATATAGAAATATAATGCAAGTATATAGAAATATAATGCAATCTTCCTAGTTAAAAACTGTATCAAGAACTAATGATGTACTATACGGTGGCCAAATGAACATAATAAAAAAAATAATACCTGAATAATAAAATATAAAAATAATAAAAAACCTGAAATGTTCAAAAGATTAACAAAGGAAAAAAATCTTCAACAGCAACAGAACAAAGAGGTCTGTCCAAATCTCCTACCCTTTGAGGAATTTCTATGAGAGACTGGGTGAGATGAAATGACCAGGAGCTAATTCACGATCCAGGTTTTTAAGAATTTATTTGTAGGTCTAAGAGGACCCTATGAATATGAACATCTACTAACACAAAGGGTTCAGAGTAGGCTGTGGGATTGAAATCCTCTTTTGGAATCCTTTCTAATAAGTATCAAGGCCTTTGAAATAAACAGGTTTAAGAAACCAAAGGCCATATGCCTGAATAAGATATTTCTCATTTGTTTCCCTGACTCAACAACTTGATTTCCATCTATGGACAAAAGTGCTTTTGTGGGAGCTGTCAGAGCACCATACACCAAGAGGCTAAGGAGGAGACTCACCTACTCATGCTTTGGGTAACAGGCATTTAAGAGCTCAGCCCTAGGTATGGATTTTGTAATGACCCATGAACCAATCTACCCCTCTTGGCTGAGGTCCTGGACCTTTGGAAAATACTATCTTAGACAATCACCCATGAATAAGAGAACTTTTGTGGAAATCCAGTCTGTAGCAGAGAAGTCCCAGCATATTGCTGAGAGCAAAAAAAATATGAGTTTGGACTCATCACAGGGGATAAGAAGAACAGTTTGATTTTACTCACATCACCTGTCTCCCAAGGTAGCACAGTTTAGGACCATGAGGGATGTTCATGGCCAATGAACTTATCCATGGAGGAAAGTGAGAATGTATGAGTGAGCGCTTGGTTTCCTAGCTGTGTGGGATAGAGCCAAAGTGGCTTCTTTCTCTTTCACTGCATCCAGAGTACTGAATTCTGAGCTGCATGCCTGGAGGGTAGAATGAGTCTGGGAGAATAGCAGATAAAGAATCTCATAAGGCATTAAAGGGATCCAGATCTTACTGTGTTGCAAACTCCACTAAGAAGCCTGCTCATGAGCTGCTCCATGTAATTTGCCTACAGATCCCCCTCACCCGTGGGCACCCTCAGAGTTCTGCAGACCTCATCTCCACAAACTCCCACCCCCCAGCAAAGAGCCAGCCTGAATGCAGGCAGGAAGAGACCAGAAACGTGAGTTTTAGTGCTGCCTTTGGAGAAACAACAAGGAGGCTGTCAGCAAGCAACCTGGTGTGCTGTAGGATAAAGAGAAGGTAGACAAGCTTAAGAATTCTGCTACAAGAGAGAGCAAGAACAGTGGGGCGGTGTTTTGATAGAAGTTCTAAGAAAGCCTCAGAATCCCTAGCAGTGCTGATGAAAGTTATTTCTCTCCTTCAGGAGAGAAATTAACTACTTTCAAGTAGTTAATGACTGGAGGATGTGCGAGCTACTTCAAATGTGAAGATAGCAATGCAGAAACTTCAAGGAATATGAAGAAAATCAAGGAAACATGATACTGCCAAAGGATCACAATAATCTATCAGTAACTGATCTCAAAGACATGGAAACGTGATTTTCCCAATAAATATTTCAAAGTAGCTGTTTTAAGGAAACTCAAAGAGCTACAAAAAACACAGAAACATATCTTGATATTAGGAAAATAGACATGAACAAAATGAAAATTTCTCAGAGAAATCATAAAAAAGAACCAAACATTCTGGAGCAGAAGAATACAATAAATGAAACAAAAATGCACTAAAGAGCATCAACAACACAATGGATTAAGCAGAAGAAAGAAACTGTGAGTTAGAAGACAGAACTATAAATTATCTGTTCAGAGAAGAAAAAGAGTGAAGAAAGTCTACATGAGTCATGGTGCATCATCAAACAAAACTATATTCACATTATGAAAATCTCAGAATGTGAAGACTGAGAAAAAGGGCAGAAAGCCTATTTAAAGAAATAATGCCTGAAAACTTCCAAATCTGGAGAGAGATTTTGATATCCAAGTTCATAAAGCTCACAACTCTTGAGATCAAGAGCTGACGCATGCTCTACTGACAGAGCCAGCCAGGTACCCCACCACTGTATACTTTAAACTAACACAATATTATATGTAAATTATATCTCAATAAAGCTGAAAAAAATTTTTTTAAAAAGAAAGCAAAGTGCCAAAGTTTTAAGACCCTGAAATTCAGGGAGTTCTTGGGAATTCCCTTTAACGGGGATAATGACCAAACTAAGCTTGAACAAAGCACCCGGTTAAGAAGTAGGGCTGAGGAGAAAACATAATGCAGAAAGCTGGGCCTAGCATAATGGTTTCACTAATCACATAGAAGGACAGAACCATGTAAGATGAATCCTTGATAATACTGCCTCAGCCTCAGATTTCTCCTAAGATGGATCAATAAACTAGTAAATAAAATTTAAAAACAAACACCACAGATTTGGCAAGAAAATCCTAACTGCACCCAACTCAAGAGTGAGAGAATTCAAAAATAAATAATTAAATAATCTTGAAAATACTTAATATAATTTTGCAAATGTGAAAATTGTCTAAAAATGAGAAATCTAGACCTTATATACATAAATCTCCAGATTTAAAAGTTGCTATTTTATTTATTTATTTGTCAGACAGAGGATGTAGGACTTGAACCCAGAGCCCTGGGATCATGACCTGAGCTGAAGGCAGACACTTAACTGACTGAGCCACCCAGGCAACCCGAAAAGTTGATGTTTTAAACATAAATAATGAAGCAGGCAAACACTAACCCTATCAACCCTGCTAGCACTGCGTGCCCCAACCCAAAGTCCCCCTGCCAACCTTCCCCACCCAACACATCCACCTCAGCAGGCATCCCTCTAAAGCAGCTCCTACCTCCTTACCCTTGGCAGGTAGCCTTGGACAGAATTGTGCCACTCCCAATGGATTCCTGCTCTGGGGAGGAGGACTGATAACAGCACACACCAGTGCACATGCAGTTCCTGAAGCAGGGTCTCTTAGTTGGTTGTACAGGGAGCAAACCCTGCCCTTCAGTGCACCTGCAGCTGTGATAGAGAGGCTAATTGTAGACAGGTAGGCTAAAAGTTGGCCCTACCCACCAATACGCGCATGTTGGTGGTAGCCAGGCCCCCTCCACAACTCAGGGAGCAAATCCTGCTCAATATGCCCACAAAAAGCAAAGCAGGGGGTGCCTTGGTGGCTTAGTCAGTTAAGTGTCTCCCTGCTCAAGCCTGCTTCTCTCTCTCCCTCTACCACATCCCGTTTTTGCTTTCTCTCTCCCTGTCAAATAATTAAAAAAAAAAAAAAAAGGCAAATCAGGTCACTGCAGCTGGCTTAGCTGAAGGCAAATACAGCTCAGGCACAAGAGGAGGGAAGCCTACACAGGGGACACCAGTGGAGCACCTGGTTCTGGTCACCAGTAGGGATTGCATTACATGGAACCACAGGACCTCTTCCACATAAGCCTCAACTTTCAAGACCAGGAGATGTAGCTAACCTACATAGTACACAAAAAACATACACAGAAAATCAGACAAAAGGAGATAGAAGATTATGTCCCAAATGGAAGTAAAGACAAAATCAGAGTTAAAAAGCTAAACTAAATGGAGATAAGCAATATGCCTGAAAAAGAATTCAAAGTAATGATCATAAAGATTCTGACTGGACATGAGAAAAGAGTGGATGAACTCAGAATTCAGCAAAGGCATAAAAAATATGAAAAAGACCAATCAGAGCTGAAGAATTCAACAACTGATATAAAAAAATACTAGAGGACATTAACAGCAGATTAGAGGATGCAGAAGAATGGATCAGTGATCTGGAAGAAACGAAACGAGATGAATGCAAAATAAAAATAACAAGGAGGAGGAGGAGGAAGTGGAGGAGGAGGAGAAAAAGAAAAGAAAGAAGAAAAGTGAAGAAGATATAAGGAAGAAGCAGATGCAGAAGAAGGATAGGTTAAGGGAACTCTGCAATGTCATTATTAAGAGAAATAACATTTGTATTACAGATATCTAAGAAGGAATGGGGGTAGGGCAGAAAACTTCAAAGAAATAATAGCTGAAAACTTCCCTAATGTGGGGAAGGAAACAGCCACGTCCAGGAGCTGCAGAGAGCCCCAAACAAGATGGCCCCAAGTACGTCCACACCAAGACACACAATTACAATGGGAAAAACGTGATAAAGAGAGAATTTT